GCCGGTCCCAGTACTGACCCCTGAGGAACACTGTCTTGCAGTGTATGTCCACCAATAAGTGGTGGACATCCTCTGACACATCCAAATACAAGACTAGCAATCAAAAAAGAGGTGGCACTGTGTGGACTAGTACTGATTTTTTTCTTTTTTAATACATAGTACAGGCTTAACACTTAAGTACAGGCTTCAGAGTCTTGAAGCCTGTGCATCAACTTACTTGGTACCTTTCCCAGTAAGACTGAACAAAACACTCTGCAGCTGCTTTAGAGGAGGCATAGGGATTTGTTGGACGTTTTGGTGAAGATTCATCAAATTCCTAAAATGAAAAAAGAGTTGCATTACTCAATTTCTTTTGCCCAGATTAAGACTTAAAGTTACAAAAGCTGCACTTGCAACCAAAGTAAAAATCCTTACATATGCAAGCACAACAGTCTGAGAAAGTCACTCTTCCACTTACAGCAGAAGGCCGATTACAAAAGACAGTCTATTTATCAAACACAGGAGGCAGCCAGAATACCAGCAGTAATATTTTTACACTTCTATCAGAGTACCTCACAGTAACAGGTCTGTAGGTTTTTATCTTGTAAAATAATCACTGTTGTCACAGGGAGGTTCAGTCCTTTTCAGGCTCATATTGCCTCAGAGCACCACAGCTAGCAAATCAGTCGTTCAGTCCTAAATAAAAGGAGTCCATTCTCCCTTTTCTATAAACTTTATTTCTATAAGAAAAGTAGAATTTCAGCCGAAAGCCCTCCAAAGTAGCAATTCTGACCTGTTCCAGAACAGGTAGTTTCATGGCTACCCTGGCATTTCTATCTACTTCTCACTTGGAAAAAAAGAAAAGATACAGTAATGAACCAAAGACGGGAGGGATTCTACACTGCCTGAGGTGCAATTCATAACAATCACCTTAACACATGATCAAAAGACTTACTGTTCTTGTCTGACCTTTGCCTCTGAAATTAATTAACCCTGATTTACTTTTTCACCTTCCTGTCCCCCCAAAAAAACCCACTCTCTTCAAGAACTTCTACTATGATTCACAAAGACAAAAAAAGAAAGAAAAAAGATTAAACGAAAGTGCTCTTTTCAAGATCCAGAGGCAGAGAAAGTTCATTTCAAGTTGTCTCAGCCAAACCATTGGTCTACATGCAGGAAAACAACATCCCTGGATACCATAAAAGTCTACAGGTTGAAATTGTATTGAAGGAACTGATAAAGACATTGCAACAATAATAAAGTGCACATTACTTTTCTGAAATACATTAGTATTTTCATGGATTATGGCACAAAACTCCTTAGCCATTATTTATGGCTTTAGAAAGATGAGTATGAGTAAATTGTCCTTTTACTCAGCTAAATTACATTTCCTGAACTGATGCCAGGCATAAACTGGCAAGAATCAAGAAGATTTCCATATAGTCAAGACAGACAGAGGGGGCAACAAGACAGAAAGAGGAAAAAAAGAAGAAAAAAAAAAATCAGGATAATTTTGATACTTGGCTTTCTAGAAACAACCCGTGCTTGTTTACAAGTTCCAGTATTGTCAGAAATAGCTCAAAAGCCATACATTCACAGAGGCCAAGGAAAGTGAGACTCATTTTGGTTTTACTATTAAAAGTAAGTAAAGGTAGAAAAACCCTCATGCACTTTCAAACTCACCTCATCAATGCTACCTCCATATACTTCATCTGTACTGACATAGACAAATTTCTCCACATTGGCTTCATGTGCAGCAGCAACCAGTACATTAGTGCCATATACATTCACATAGGTGAATTCAAGGGCATGCCAAAATGAAAGATCTAGATTAAAACAAAAATACAGACAATTCTGATTAAATTTGGGCAAGATGTGGCTTCCTATTGAACCATATAGAGGTTGCAACATAGACTGGGACTATCACTAGTTCTTTGATTGTCAGTGCAGAAAGTGTCTTCATTTAATGATGACTTTGCCATCTGAGTATGGTAGGGATAATTCTCATTAACGCTGTTATTGAAGAGTGGTAATCTGAAATAGGCACTTTTAAGTGTAATTCATTGTCTCTCTTTAGAATCCAGGCAGGATTCTGAAGGGAGCTATGCCTAATTCTTTAGCTTCCATACTGCAAGGGTGGAACCAATCAAGTAAAAACTTAAGACTATGTACAAACTCTTTTTCCATTGTCTTCATGGCTCCACCAGTACACTGACAGTTACATGTCTGTCTAAATGGAACTTAAAAATTAAATGAAAAAAAAAAAAAAGAAAAAGGCATTACTATCTATGTACAATCAAAACAGACAACAGTCAGATGAAGCACTTTTTACATTCAGGCTGTGAACTCCTTTAAGTTCAAGTTAAAAAGGTCACCGGACCATGAATCATGTAGTTTGCAGAGACAAACTGTATCCTTGTTTTATATGAAGGGAAAAGACAAAAAATATCAGTATATATTTCAAACACATATACTCATAGAAAATACCAAAACATGCAACAATGCTCACCTACATGTGTTTGGGCTGCAAAATGAAGGACTATATCTATTTTCTCAGTTTTGAAGAGCTGTTTTATAAAATCAGGTTCACAAATATCTCCCTAAACAGGACAAAAAAATTAACAAATTATTTTTGATAGAAAATAGTAAGTTTTCATTCAAGCACAGGTTACAAAAAGCACTACCAATTGAGTTTAGGGCAATTTGTCAATGCTGTAGCTAAAATAAGACGAGATAGAAGTTTCACACATTTTGAGCAATAGCCTCAACAAAACTTATTTCAGGATTTAACAGTAGAAACAACATTGCCCCCAAAATATACACAACAGAAGTACAGCATGTAGCTTGAATGCTGAGGTTGAAATGACAAGTTCCCGCAGCAAGGAAGAGTTACTGGAGTCTCGCTAACCGAGAGTGACACCTAGTGGCACTATAAAAGGTGAAGTGGATTTCCCCTTCTGTCAAAATAGATGGTTGCATGCCTTACGAGGATTTTAGGTTTTTATTGTTTGTTCTGGTGGGTTTTTTTAAATTTATATATTTAGAAAAGAGTAAGACATCAACACACAGGTCATTCTTTAGTTTGACACAGAAGGAACAGCAGCTTTTAAAGGTAAATACAAGCTGGCAAAATACAAGCTGAGAAAAAGCTTTTATCTGCTGGCTCAACTTAACAATAGTACCTGAGAAGGGGTGTCTTGGGGAGAAAGACTTCTGTATTTTCAATAACAAGGCAATTAACTAAACTGCCTATGTTTTAAGAAGTTCTCATGCAAGAACTCTGAACAACAGACTTAAAGAAGTATTGTATGTCAGAAATGGGAGGAAGATGAACTGATTTTCCTAGTCCTCATCCCTAAACAGAACTGAAACACTCCAATAAATACTTCAGGTTCATACACTATTTTGAACTAAATGGTTACTATTCAATATTTTTTAACACTGAAATTCAAAGTTGATACATCTGTGCTAAGCAACAACAGAAATTGTAATAAAACTGTATCTTTCCATACAGCCCCTTATACACATTTTCTAAACTTTTACTTCTCTACCTTCCAAAACAGGTTTCTTTTCTACAGCAACACCACAGCATTTATCCTTCCTGTTCTCTCCTACGGCCAGTAATAGCGTTACAGTTCTAATCATAGGGCTTGTCCATCAGAGAGTATTTTTTCCAGTGCAGTTTCTCCTATCAGTGTAAACTGCTTGGCTGCATACCAGCTGCATAAAAAACCTCTTCCTTCTCCACCAAAAAAAACAACAAAAAACCGCCACCAAACCACCAAACCAAAAAGTTGGAATGAATTATCCTGTTGTAAATTTTGTAAGAATACATTCCTACTCTAGTTCAGAAGCAGTATAGCTACACTATTCCTTGTTACTAATCCCCTGTTTCACGTAGGGAACTGGCTGTTAACAGGATGCCTTCTACAACTCTGTGCTATCCCCAGCAATTACATGTTAATATATACCCAGGTAATGAGGCTTTTCTACAGCATTCATACATTGCATACTGGAAACTGTCAAAAACATTAGGAAAAATAACCAAAAATCCAGTTTCGGCATGCTGAAACTGGGTACATTTGCTTAGTAGACATCCCCCTTCTCCTCATGCAATTTTTATCCCAACAGCTCAGAGAAAATTGATTGCTGAAAAAAAGAGGTAGATTCACAAAAATGTAAACAGCCATGAGGGTCACCAAACAAGTGAAGACAAGTTCAATTCCCAACCTTGCCTGAATCTAAGAGATACGTTTAACTTACATCTACTATCTCTGACAAAGTTGCCCCAAATTTAATTTTCTATTTCAGAAAATTAAACTATATGCATTCTCTTACGTCCTGCAACCTCAGGTAGCCCAGCTAGACAGAGCAACCAGCATCAGTAATAACTTTCTGGGGAAGGGAGGGGAAGAACTTCATCATACAAACCCAGCAGTCAGAATGTTTATCTGAACAAAAAATCAAAACCCATTCCCTGCCTGAAGATAAACCTGTGGAAACAGTAAACTAATTTAATTGGCAGAATTTTAAAAAGAAAACGCATACCTTGAATGTTTCCACAAGACCCTGTTCCAAAACAACTACAAACTACACACCATCAACAGCAGCAAAAGCAAGAATATAGCCTGGTGTCTAGAGCTAACAGAACAAGAAAGAGCGTGCTGCACACCATGAAATACAACAAGTGGCAGTGTTTGAAGTTGCAAAATCTAAGATAGCATCAGAGAAGCACAGAAGAGCTGGATCTGAGTCCACCTTGTCCATACTACCTATCAAAAGTGAAACAATCATCCCTAAAACCACTTATCTCCATAAGCGGGCTTTTACCTATTCTGTACCTTTATTATTCAATAAAATATATCAACTTTCAAAAGACTACTTCACGTAAGAGACAGAACATACTGCATATTGTCACAGACTTCTGTGGGCGAAAGTCTACTAATAAGGTAAACAGATGAAGTAAATGCTCTTATGCCCATGTGATTGTACCATACACTGGCACATTACATACACTGACTCATCCTTCACTATAGATTAGTAGAAGTAATTTCAACTTTACCATAAATGAAAGCAGTGGCTTATAGTTTGGGGAGCTTTGGAGACCACAATACCTTGACACGAAGGCATAAAAATTAGTAAAAAGTCGAGTTTCCTAGAAGAGAAGGCTTTATCACCTGGATAAACTTGTAGTTTTCTTTTCCAGAGATGGTTTCAAGATTCTTCAAGCTTGCACAGTAGTCGAGCTAAAGAGAAATAGCCACACAATATCATTAAGTGGGCTTCGTGAAAGTAAAGCAGCTAATTCAGATCCTAAATACTAAAAAGTTTGAGAACAAAGTAAAAACTTCTTTCAAAAGAAAAGCTATTTTTTACTCTGAAAGGTATCCTAACTGCAAAAATTCTTAAGTAGAAGTTTAGAACTTGAAAAGCTTTTTTTTTTTTTTAAATAATTATTTGTGGTGGGCACAAGACTGTAAGCATGAACAGCAGCTTTTTTTTTTGTGTAGGAACAAATGGACAGTTGAACAAAAATTTAACCGATAACACTAATCCATATCAACTTCAACATACTATAGATTGCATTAAAAATCACTTTTAAAAGTTTTCCGTATAAAGAAAGAAAACAAGCTACTTACTTTATCTAGATTTATAATCAGATAGTTTGGATAGTTTTTCACAAGAGAGACAACTACATGTGAAGCTCTGTAGGATAGAGGAAAAACATATTTTATAGTTATTGATAATGCCTATAACTACATATTGTTAAGAAACTAAAAATCAGATTAAAAGTTCATGCTATAACAAAAGAAAGCAGCACCGCTCACAGCCACATTAAAATAAAAACAAACCAAAAAAACCTGTTATATGTTACATTCAATTGTCACTCTAAAGTACTTTTATACTGTTTAAGTTTATACACTGGGTATAACGGAGAACAGCCAACTGTCCTAACTCCCAATAGTGACTCTCAACACTCAACTCTCCGACACTGCTGCTAGGTGTAAGAAGAAATGACAGCCTGATTGTCAGGTGGCATTTCTCTTTGGTACAGCCTCATGTACAAGACGCTCACCCTGAGAGTTCAGGTTTCACAGGACTTATTCGCACGTCCAGCCCCCCAAGCTGGGGATGCTCACAGAAATCCAATCCTCTCACCGCATCGCACTCCGAGCACACTGACAGGCTCAAGCTTAAGACGGACCTGAACCTTCTCTGCCTGGAGCAGAGCCCACCGCACTGGGGAGCGGGAGTGAGAAACAGTCGTTGGCTCAAAGCACAGCCACCCCATCCCCGCCCCAGTTGAGGCTGAGCACCGGCTCCCACCGTCAGCGCCGGGAGGTCCCTTCACCGATCACCTTCTTGCCAGCCGTGGGCGGAGGACAGCCGGGCAGCAACGCAGCTCGCTCCCCAGCGCTTACCACCTCAAA